TCAAATTATAGTTGCCACCAAACTATTTGGAATAGCCCAAACTATGTGATGATTAGCATCACATGTAGGCAAAGTTAAGTTAAGACCTAGTTAAAACTATATGTGATGCTAATTTGATAGTTTAGACAGCCAAATAAAGGAAAAAAAAAATAAAAACAATTTTTCTCTATTAATTTTTGCCATTCTAAGATATGATCAACATTGTAACACACTGATTGATTCATTTGCAAATGCTGTTTATCTAGCATAATAGGTGTTAAGAATTTTTTCATTATGTCATCTATCTGTCTAAAAAGCATAGTATTTAATGTCAGCAATCCAACTATTAGTAGTGCACTATGCTCGACTTCAAATCTTTCAAAGTGCTCCTCATTTTTGACATAATTATTAATGTTAACTAACAAGTCACATAAAGATGTCACCCGATCAACCTTATCATGTATTTGCTTGTTGATAGACTCTATCCTCTGGTGCTTTGAGCACCAGCTGTAAATTGATTATGTATCCACAATATTACCCATAACTTCTTATTAACATAAAGTGTTTCTGACATATATTTTGCCACTTCTGGGTATTGATTGACCAAATGTGACCATCGAGCCTCAAATAGCTCACTGTATAATGAATTTCAACAAATATAGAACTTTTGACGAAATTCTTCAAAATGGGATCTTAATTTACATTTAAGCTTTTTTCGGAGATTCATATCAATTTGGAAAATACATAATAAGTAGTTTGTATTAGGATGTATTTCTTTAATCACACTAATCATGGATAGATCAGAATTGGTAAATATGACTTTGGGATTGATGCCCTTTTCCTCAAATAAAGTAGTAAAAATCTATTGAAAAGTATCGAGAGTTTCATCATCTATAACAGCAGTAGCTACGATTCTTGATCTGAAATGATTATCAATAACTATCATGACAAAGAGTATCATTTGAAAGCGATTTGTGTTGGATGTGGTGTCAATAATTACAACATCATAGAAATTTTCATATAAAGACCTTTGTGATGGAGACATCCATAATAACCTATTTAATCTTCTAGAAAAAGGATCTAAGTGTGGTTTAACCACCCATAAAGGGTCAAATTCCTTCCAACTTAATAACATTTGAAGCATTTGGGATGCATCCGAGTCACCTGGATTATTTGTAGCTTGAAACTGATATACTGCATTGTAAAGGTCTTTTTTAAAGATGGGGTTATTGGGATAGTCATGTTTAAGTAAAGGGTAAATAGATCCAGAGTCCATCCGACCTTGAATTACATATTTTTCAATGTTGGATAACATTTCCAGCATTAATTTTCTGAATCTTGGTGCTGTTTCATAGATAGTTGTACTAAACACGTGATTATGGTTATCTACAAATGAAGTAATCTTTAAAATATTGCTTTTTTTAGAGCAGTACACATTAAGCCTCCAGGGACATTCTGTCTGTTGTGAAACTGCATTTCACTATTTAGTGGGGTCACAAGTTACTTGAGGATTGTAAATACCTGATCTTGAACATTTTAAAGTAGCATGTCATATTACATCTTCATCCTTTTGACTAGTTCTAACCCAATAACTAAATCCTTTTTTTTTTAATAATGATCTATCCATGCTTTAAATTCTATCTAGTCTACAAAGGTTAGGTCATTATTTAATTCTGAAGTATTTATCAGATTCTCACTTTTCTCTAAATCTGTGTCGATTATAATTCCATTATCGATGTTATTATTTTCTATTAAGAACTCTTGCTCAGAAGGCTGATGATCATTACTAAAATTGGTGACCTTTTAAAAAAAAAGTTAAAAAAGATTAATGTTTAGTGTAAAAACCATAAAGGCACTAGAAAAAAGCCACTCTTACTGGAGATAATAAAAAATCAACAGGAGAATTGATGTCTATCGGTATTGAAAATAATGTAGACATAACGTTTAATGATAGTCCTAGTAAAACAGGTGACATATGATTCAGTGACAATTCCAATAAAACTGGGTCCTATAAAAATATAATGTAATGTTAACATCAGGTTATTACTACCACAAAAGTACCAACAATATATATCCTAAATTTTGGGTACAGTATAAACAAAATTAGTAAAAATGTCTTACAAGAGGTAATAATGGTTCTGGTAAAACTGGAAACATAAAATTCAGTGACAATCCTGGTAAAACTGGGTTCTACAAAAATATAACAATTTAAGGTTCCAACAATATGTATTCTAAATTTGGAGTATGAACAAAAATTAACAGAATGTCTTACAAGAGGTAATAAAAAATTAGCGCAAAAATTCATGTCGCCTAGCCTCAGAAATACTGTAAACATATGTGATCTTGGTGAAACCAGAGCTATAGGTTCTAGTGGCAGTTCTAGTAAACCTAGATTCTGACAAATACAATGATTTAGTGAACGTAAAAGGTCTTTAATTCTTTGCACATATGTTTAAAAAGTTTTTTTAATTACACTTTTACTGGGATTTTCTGAATTCATAAATGGTATGTTCATGACACTTGTTTACTCAGTTATTTGATATATTTTTTACGATTGAACCTTTAAACACCCACAGCAAATAATTTTTAGGCTTAGAAAATTGATTCACAGATTTATTAGAAGCGAAAAAAATCAAATCATTATTGTTATCACTTTTATATTTATACTTTAAGGATTATACCATACTTTAGTCATGCATGAATCACAACAATGCACTCATATATTATCTTTAAACAGAGTTCTAATTGCACTAGAGAGACTTTATACCACAGCATGTCTTGGTTACAATTTTTGTAAAGGAACTATGTCTTGTATGTTGTATGAATATGGGCCATCTATGTAAATAAATATAATAATATTATACTGTATATATAGTTTGTAAATAAATACATAATATTGTAATTATAAATATATAAATAATAAATATGTGTAATATACACATAGTGTAATTTAAGAAATTTTCTTTATTAAAATACCTTTTCAAACTTTTTTATACTATTTAGAACTCATTTTTAAAGGTTTTATCTTTTTTCTTTAACTAAAACTATTCAGAATCTAGATGTCTTATATAAAATAATTTTAATAAGTACTATTAATATTCTGCTTAAAATCAATAAACAAATTTATAAACAATTATAAAAACTTACAATATAAATTTTATAATTAAACTATATCAATGCACTTTTGCTTAACCAAATTATTCAAATCTCTACTAATTAAATTGTTTTTAACAACCTTATTTGTTCTTGATACTTATCAAAAAAATGATTTAATTAATAAAATTTTTTATTATCCAGCTTTCAATCTTCTATATATTTTACTTAAAACATCCTATTTTAATCTTATTTTTAAAGAACTCATCTCAAAATCACTTATATTAACAATTCAAAACTCTGATATATTATATAAAACTACTTTCCAAGTCATTATTGATATTTTTTTAATTTTTTTTTTTTTTGGTATTAAGGTGACCTCTTTGGTCTTTTGACTTTTATTAATCACTTGTCAGTATTGTGGTT